GAACTGTGTATTGAGTTTTTGAAGTCAAACAAATAAAATGGTGGATTTCTTAGTACAAAAAACAAGTTTTAAATATTTTTTTTCTCGAAAACTATAAGCGACCGCCGAATTCTGCTTGTTGATTAATTCATTAGAGATTTATCTCTATCGTTTAAAATTTATTTGATTTGAATTACGCCGGAGTTAAAGTTATTTACCTTTACCGAAAAAGTAATCATTAAATTATTATTTATGTTTTTCGGTCTGAATTGAATATTTACTTACAAAACGATTTCTGGTTGGGTCTAATATACCGCAATTTATAATTAAGAAAAACGAAATACATCACATTGTTTTTTATTACTGCAATTATTAAATTTATCATTCGATGATGAACAAATTAGAGCAAGGGATTACACAAAAAAATGTTCAACATATTAGTCACTACGATTGAAGTTATACCTACCTTTCCTAAGAGTACTTAAAATGTAAATTGTTATCATAATTAATTCATAATAGGTATACTAAAATGAAATAATAATATGATTATCATTTCAATTTAGTGCAATAGATGTAGGGCACATGGAGAAGAAATTCATGAAAAAAAAAATGAAAGGACGTGACTTATACGAAATCTATATACCTATTAATACGTGAAGAAAAAACTTTGTACAAGTAGACGTGATAATTACACCGTAGGGAACGACAGAAATAGCCTCAACTTTAATCAATTAAATTTTAAGCATAATTTGCTATTATTAACAAATTATTCGTATAATGTATTTATAAATAAGTGACAGTGACTGTTGTTGTATATTGTACAATTTATTTTAAGTAACTTTCACGCTTTGTAAAAACAAATAATCTTTTTATTTTACGAACTGAGCACTGTTTCTATGGTATTTTTAGTAAATTATGGCCATGTATCAGAAACGGCAACTTTGGTTGCTTTTTCGGTAAAAGCTTTAGTAATGAATATTAATTTTGCGAGCCAGGCATAATTTTATATCAACCTTGAACATGTTATATGTCTTTGGATAAATCATAAAACTCACATATTCTTCTTACTTTCGGCGAACTATAAGAGTCCAGTTAAAAGCAATGTCTTCATTTATTTATTCTTATTAACATTCCGAAAACTTTGTTGTTCTGATGTAAAATATTCATCATTAGTTAAATATTCACCATTTAAATAGGTTGCACTTAAAATATTGCTAACCCAAATTAAACACGTTAAGACATGAGCAATCGTTAAATTTATCTACGAATTTTCCACCATAAAGTATTAAGAAGCCAGAAGTGCTTCTACAAATGGATTTGGCAATAAACGCCTTGTAGGAAGCCGCGGAACTCGCAGTAACGTTATTTGATAACATTACTTGATTTGGGTTAATGTTCGACGTAAAATTAAAAGTATAGATTGTTTTATTATAGTAAAACGCGTATTGGTCTTACTTTATACGAAACTAGCAGACTAGACAGACGTTGTCCTGTACACACGTCTTAAATTCGAAAATTCAAACTTTTTTTGAATAAAGTTGTGAATCTAAACCATTCTCAAATCCATCTAAATATTCACAAAAAAATCATTAAAATCGGTCCAGCCGCTTACGAGGAGTTCAGTGACATACACACGTACAGAAGAATTATAGACAGGGAGGCTTATCTAAACGTATCCATTTTTTTTTATTAAATTCTAGACATACATAATGTCATATAAAAACTGATAAATATTTAAAATCACTTGTAATTAATTAAATATATTCATTTGAATTTATCTCAAAAAGTGCGTGATTTATGTGCAACTCATCTATTTTACGCGCGATCATTCATAACTAACACGCACACAAGTTCGTTTCAAAAGTATACGACGCATTTATGAATGACTACTGCATTGTCAACAAGTTCTGTTGTCTGTTGTTCTGTTCTGTTGAAAAAAAAAAGTTTGTTTTTATTTCAATAAAATATTATACTAACGAGTCAGAAAATCCTGTGTGAATTTGGGCACCTTTAGAAAGCCTCCCTGTATATAATATTTAAGTTATTAATTATGTATGTAAACATAGATGAACTTCCGGATTATGCAACTTAATCTTCGTTCTTCTTTCCATCCAATTATATTATTAGTAATTATTTATCTACAAGTCAGGTATAAGACAATTCCGTTTACTACCATCGCTTTATTATAGTGCAAGGAAAGCAAGAGAACATAATCACCTATCTTTTTGAGTCATGTCCTGGCTGAAAAAAAAATATTAAAGACAAAAACATTACTGTATGTGTTTCAAATGTTTTAATTGTTTTAGTTAGTACGCACGTCATTTCATAGTAAACATTTTTTTAGAAAACGTATATCCACATATATAAATATTGAGCAGGTTAATTTTGATTATACATGTTATAGAGTATTATTTTCAAAATACATTTTCGATAGAATAAATCATGAAAGTATTATCATAATAAATCAAGTAAGTACTTAAAGGTTTAATGAAATTCTTACAAAAAAGTGTTGATTTAATTTGTCAGTTTAAAGAGATTCTTTGTAGCTATTAACTTAATTTAATAAGATTAATTTGAACGAGATAATAAAAACTTACGTCATAATTTACACACATCTATATTTCGCCCAGTGATCCAAACGTAGGCATGGCATGGGTTGATGGACGATGATGAATTAGTACTGATTAGATATGCGTTTTGGTAGATAATAAACGGATTAATTAAAATCATACGAAAATACTTTAATGTTTGTTATTGAAAACCGAAAATAAAATGTCTGAAAAAATTAGGATATGAATTAAATTGTATAAAACGCTTAAAAGATAAGAAAGCCTAATAGTTTACAGTGTGATTTTTATTTTGAAATAAATTAGTTTCTTTTTTTGAGGAAACGCCTACGAACACCTGCATTCAGGAGAGCAAAGCCAAGTTTGTCGCTGGCTTGCACCGAGTCTGCCCCCCACGATTTTCCGCCTAGGTTTCTACAGGGCCACGGTCACGCTTTAGGACACATCAAGCCTGCCGACGCTGGCTGCAAGTAAACCCCTCCCCACTCCCACTACACTAGGCAAGGTGCGCTCCAATATTAAGCACATCTTCCCATTCAGCCTTCGGCATGGGCAACAGATACCACCGTGTCACCTAGGGGCCATGGGTGTCATAAGAGCCAGGGTTAACAAGCAGCAGGCTTCCTGGCTCTAAACCAGGCGCCCCTGCACTTGGTCTGCTCCACCACCCGTTCTCATATGGTTTGGCCATGGAAGATAGTGAGAAGATAATGAGGGCGCAACACAATACCATGACTTCTCCCCGTGCTTCCTTGTTTGCAGGGTACTGGGATCTGTACCACCCTCAAACTTTCACCCTGAACATCCATGCACGCATCCAGAATGGCTCAACGCACCTACTCAAAGTGATCATAAGTGGGCCATAGACTGCTTTAAGAATCTGTTACTGAAATAGTCGGGACCTTGGCCAGAACGTCGCTTTGATAAAGTTTTTGAGCTATTCCGAAGTCAAAAACCAGAGGAAACGTGACTTGCGTACCGGTGGTATTTGAGACCTAAATTAGCACGGTCCGATTCTATTGGGTGAACTGGATTAACATGTTCATGATACAGATTTCATAGATTCTCTTGATAAATTTCTATGAGATCTGACGCGCTATGTTGGTTTCTCTGTTAAGCTTTTTAATTCAAAGTTGCAACCGGTTCGATTTCGAACGATAACGGTCGTTCGCGCTTTTGGCTGATTTTGGGTTCTAATGCAGTTTGGGTAACAGTACGAAATAACTAGAGACCATCCTTAAAAAAATACTGTTGTACTTGATATCTTTTTGTACTAATTATTAAATTTGCACTATTAAAGTTGCACACAATTGGTTTCATAAGTTGCATGGATCTATTAACAGCCATAATTTTCTCAGTATTAGCGCGATATTGCGAACACAGAAAAGCAAATGTATAATATGTAGTCAAAAGTCAAAGTATATTTATTCAATATAGGACTAACTTAAGCTCTTATTGAACGTCAACAAAAAATCTACCACCGTATGTAAATATGTATAATATGTAGAATGTATATGTATACAATTTATAACATAAGAAGTAGTGTAATATGTAGAATTGGTATGGATAATCTGCACTACTTTGTCCATTGATTGTAGCTCAATCAGAATCTTGATCGTTAATTTTAGAAATTGGGTCACCTAAAATTAGGTGAAAAATTATTACTTTTTAAATACGTTACAATTTACAATTACATCATTAAATTATAACAGTTTATCATTTTAAATAAAAAAAGAACATTTTACATATCAAACATTTATTTATTAAGAATCTGACATTTTCTTAACCAAGTATACCGGGCAAAGGGTAAAAGTTTTGACATAGTAAAATAAATTTGTAATAAAATAAATAATACAATCGCAGGACATACTCTATGTACAGTTTAATATATGAGACATAAAACTTAAAGGTTGTAGATTTGGTATGAAAGGTGTTACAGCACTTAAAATAGTTTTATAAAATTACATTATTCCTCTTTACAAGTTTGTTGCTTTCGTTCAACCATATATTTATAAGAAATTGAAACGCTTAAGGCACAGCGAAATTACGTCTAACTAGAATATACAACTATCTTAGACATTTGGTAACATCGATTACGCTATGTCACGAGTTGTGATATGTACAAAAATATTTCATCCATTTCACTATCTACAAATATTCATTTACCACAATCCCACATAAAAAGCCACAAATACTTTAACATAAATAAATAACGCAATTCAAACTTAAAACAATTCGATGAAGTATAATGTTAGAGCACCACTGATTGAAATAAACACGTATACAACGTTCACATACGCATTAAAAGATATATGGAAGTCTTTTATAAGTGAAAACATCAAAACCAAATCACTGTTACACTTGTTCAGGACTTATTGGCACAATTAAACTAATTTGTAGTCTTAAAACCATAACATATCGGTTCAGAGTCTAGAACCGATATTCTTCAAATCAGGCACGGGAGTTTTCTCTTCTCTGTCGCTCTAACTGTTTCCTGTGGTTGTGGCGTTTGCGGACTATAATTGCTACTAGCGATACTACGACAACCAGTGCCACTGCTATGCCAATCCACCAGTAAGTGTTGTAAGAAGCCTCTTTTGGAGTGACATTCTCGTTTTCACTGGACGCGACTGGATTCTTTATCTCAAGCACGCCGACAGTCGACGTTTCATGTCCTAGTTTTGAGTTAGTGTCATCACCAGTATCTATCACGTTATCAATTATGCTTTCGTGTGTTTCATCTTCATTTGCTTTTTGATCTTGTTCCCGTTCAACGTTCTGAATATCATTTCCATCGGGAACTTTTCTTCCCACATTATCAGGCTCACTCTCCGGGGGATCGACGTACTCATCTAAGTTGTTGCTTTCAGCAGATGGGTCTAGCTGGTAGTCTAAATATTCATCCAATAGTCTAAAGTAGTCAGTGAGTCCAGTATATTCTAAGCTATTTTCCCGCTTTGCTAGTAAGTCACTTATCATTTCAGGCCATACAGCACTATACCCTCTGATCATTGGTTCTCTGTGAAAAATAAATGTTGTTGCTAAATAAAAGTTCATTTATTCATTTGGAAAAAGAAGTTACGTTAAAATATTATTAAGATGTTAGTTTTTAAACTTACATAAGACGTTCATTTTTTTCCGCCACGTGTTTAACTAGGTCGTAATCATCCGATATTAGTTCCTCAGCAAAGGATTGATAAATTTGATATTTTAATATGAGGCCCAAAAATTTCCTGGAATATCCAACGTTATTTAAAAAATATAAATACTCGTATATACTAAACAACTATTATTAAGTACTTACCCAATGAACGGTCTATTGAATAAAATGTACGGATCGCCTAATAAATCATTGTTAGAAGTGTCTATCATTGAGAAATTTTTACGGAATTCACTCCAACTGTTTACTGCCGTTACTGATGGAATTTCACCCATCAAGACTTTTAACCTCCACTCATCCGCAGCAATATAAAAGTTAAGCCTAAAACAGATAATTTCCTTTAACACTTATTAGCGCAAGTGAAGTTATTAGCAGTATTTAATAAAAAAATGGTCAAATTAACTATTGTACTCAATATTAATTCATACTTACTTTGGCAAATCTCTAAGGGCAATTATCAACTGCAATACGAGACGATGATGGTTAGGATTAAAGTTAAATCTCTCTAATGGATACAGTTTAGCCCTATCTAATGTATGTGGATTTAGGGACAGAAGAGATATAAATGCTGGAATTGCTTCGTATATAGCTGGAAGAAGAATGTAGTTTTTTTTCAAAACAGTAGACAACGACTTGCAAATGTATATTTTCAAGCTTATTATACCTGAATATCTTGCTGCTTCTCTCAGTACGTAAGTATTGTTACTATGTAACGCGGATGTTATTTTGTACTTTATCTTGGTAGCTGCCTCATGAGCCTCCATATAGTTGCCAATGTTCACGTCCGCGCACGTAACAAATCTTACTTTATTTGGCTTGCACCAGTCCACAATAGTTGTGGGGCAAATACCATTAAATTGTGACTCTGCAAATATTTCCGGCTCGATCTCACCGAGTTCTAAATCTTTCAATAACTTCTCAGCCTCCTTGAATGCTTTCAAACCACCGAGGTCCTAGAAATTGCGAGTATTTCAAGGGAATTCTTACTATAAAACAGATAAGTTTTAAGTGCACATACCTTAATTTGCAAATTCGCGTGAATTTTTTTATATATGTCGGAATGTTCCGGTAGCAAGCTCTCTATAAGGTTGGACCAGTCGTCACCATTCAACGATCCTGTTGTTGAATTAAGTTTATTAAGCATTACATGATTAATTACTTAATAATTACTAACTTCATGAGCCATATGGACGAACTTACTTAATAAGTGAACAGGTAACGGTTTACCGACAGCATCTGCGCCTCTCAGCTTTAGAGCTATATACTTATGTAACTTAACGTACAAAGGTCTCACGTGATCCCAAATCTCCCGTGCTTTTAACATTGCACCCTCATACTCACTCAGGTTGTCCCAATACTCCTCTACTGTATTGTAACCTATGAAAATAGAAAACACGGTAAAATACAATACGGTTTAATTGAAATTTACTTCATTCGAAGGAGTGCTACTTTTTCTTCTGTCGAAAGTTGCCAAGCGAGCAGACGGTTCACCTGATGTTAAGTGAATAACGCCGCCCATGGACATCTGCTACACCCGAGGGTTGCAGATGCGTTGATAACCTTTTTAAAATTGGGGTCTGGCCACCTCACTCACTAGACGAAATTATTATACTTATACTTCCACTTTACGCCGGTCTTCTGTGAGGTCGTGGTACTTACCCGGACGAGCCTGCCCATTCGTGCAACAGCCGATGCTGCTGCGTGGCCCTACCACCATGATACTGCAATCTATTAATATGCTTTAAGTTTTTGCGACCCTTTTAAAACCTGAATACATCATCATCATGTTCCTGCCCTTATCCCACCTAGGTGGGATAAGAACTAAATGTGAATCATGTAAGCGGTTTTGGCTGTTTTCTACGCCTGCCTGACGTCAACCTTCTATCAACAACTATCTGTGGGTCACACAAATACTTGTCCCGTGTGCGTAACGAACCCACGACCCCCGACGCCCAAGCCAATAGCTTAGCAACTGCGCCACCGAGTGAAACATATGAATCGCCTGCATATCTGAATATACCTGAATACATATGAACCGCCAAAGTACTCACCGTTTTCTTTGGAAGCGTTCCGAAGTAACGGAAGGATTTGTTCTAAGTACTCTTTGAGATCCGGGAGGCGTTGCTCCCATGACCTCTTCATGCGAAGTGCGACATCCTCATCTTGTTGCTTTGCTACGTTTCTATTAAATTCTTAAATAAATAAAAAACACATGAGTATGTATGTCGAACTGTGGACTACCGTTGGCTAGTGGATGGTATTTACACTCCGTTATGATCTTTCTGGTTCGATATACAGCAAAATGCAATTTTTAAATTGAATTTCATTTTAATGATCATCAATTTCCGCCACACAACCAGAAAAAACATAGCGAATTGAATAAAACGTAAATATATTCTGTTATTACCTGTCCGGGTGCAATTAGTGTTGGCTCCACAATCGTAATCCGTGGCAAATCGCAGTTTATGTTGCGCAGTATTGCCAAAAGTTACGAGCTAAAAAGTATATATATGGTTATAATAAAGCACAATTCTCACTAAAGATACGATCAGTAAATATTTAAAATGGAAAATTCTAAAAAAGTAAGTTCCCACTATTGGGCAAAGGCATCCTCTGTAAAGAGAGTATCAGGGCGTAGTCCACCATACGACCCCACTGTGGTTTTTCAACATTCGAAACATTTTTTTTTGTTATTATTTCGAAAATATGCAGGTTTCCTCACGATGATTTCCTTCACCGCCGAGCACGTAACAATTGAGCACTTAAAAAATAACAATTTAATTGGTGCTGGCACCGGGGATCGCACTCGGGTTGCTCGAGTAAATGAAATTAAAGGCGAGCGCACGGACACTGAGCTATGACGGCTCTATTTATAATTTTATAATTTCTATTTATAATTTTATAATTTCGATTGAATTTGGAAAATTATATTTGTAATTTTGATGTGGCAGTTAGCCTAAGGATATTTGGCTAAGCATGTCGCGGGTTCGAGTTCGGTGTGAAAAGTATTTGTGTTCTAAAGACATTTGCGTGTTGCAATAATGTTAATAATCAACACAGGCTCTATACTGTACAGTAGAGGAAAACTCCCACTAATGATTATAAATTTGTCCCTCTTTCGCCCAGTAAGAGAAGATCGACGATTTTTAGTTTACAGGTCGAAAAAGTTCCTTATGTCACAGTACTTTTCACCGCAAACGGATTCTGTGGAACAGAACTCGGGCGCAATTCATCCATGAAATCGAATCCCACGGATGCAAAGCCGCGGGCAAATAATAAATTGGAGACCTAATTACGCTTCACTAATTTATTTTGTGGCCTTGATTTTATTTGTGTGTTCATTTCACAAATGGAATTATTAAACACAACAGGGATTACTAGATTCGATACAGGGATTACTAGATTCGATACGACTAGCTTACTAATTCATTTGAGCTGTTTTTAATCAATCTCATTTAATGAGAAAGGTTTAAAAAACTAATAGCGTCGTCAAGCGGTTTATCGGTTTCGTAATAAATAGCAGGCGTAAAATATTGCAGCAAAGTTAAATATATGTCGAGGCGTACGCATCATATGCACACATGGTTCACTGAAGATAACCCACTTCCTAGAAGCTTATTAGACAACAAGAATTCATTCTCTATATACCGACATACATACTGAACTATATCTATATTTCGTCAGACCCAGCGTTCTGCATTTTGATAAACTGGTTTTGTAATTACTCACCTGTTTTTTAACCGACTTCAAAAAAGAAGTCTTTTTTATTTTTTTTAATGCGGATAACTTTGTCTTTTATGAACCGATTTTGATTATTCTTTTTATTGGAAAGGAGGTATCTTAAGGGAAACTATGATAAGGAAAGCCAGATCTGTTAATGGCCTCCCAGAGAATCGAGGGCAATCCTCAAATGTTATAGGTATTAACAATGTTTTTAGTTTCCGGTTTGAAGTCGGTTTTTTTTGTTATCAATAAATTTTGTTACATTCATGACTATTGTATGAGGTTTTTATCAGCAGAATTTTTGTATTTTAATAACAATAATAGCATTTTTGGATTCCATACCACCGTATTGAAAATTATTCATATAAAAAAAGACAGTAGTAGAATATTCACTGGTGAACGGAATATTATTTAGGTTTGAATATGAAAAGTATAAGAGCCGAGATAATTATAGACTGCTAGGCCTGATGCCATAAATCATTAAATAGTTTCGAATGATTTTCTGCAACTAGATCGAGATCGTTAATATTATATTCTTGATTTGGCTAAACACATATGTACATGTCTTATATATCTATTTATATAATAATTTTGAATGTACAACTTTAGTACAGTACCTATCAAACCAAGTGTTACTACTATGTATTCGGGTCATTCTAAGTTAAGAGGTAATTCGTTGTATGAATTGGCGGCCCGGCTTATTTTTTATATTTTTACTTAAGTATACATTTTATTTTATGGAAACTGCTAAGTTGAAAACGTTTACAAAGTGGCCAGTCAATTTATTGATTTTATCTCGTTTTATAAGTGACCAGGGGAAATACACAGTACAGGAGAGAGACAAGGTGTAGAGGACATTTTATGAACAGGGAAAAAATAACCAAAAAAAATACCAAGTTTATTTTTAAGAATCATCCTTATTTATTTTATTTATGAATTATTGATAATCAGACTTTTCATTTCTTAGCACTCTTTTTTGTTCATAAAATTAAATGTTTCGTAAGCGCTAGGTACAAAACATGAAAAGGTTCTTACTTTTCTTGTCTATCAAAACAAAACTATATATAACTTTAGTATCAATAGGCAATAATTAAATAAAAAGAAACAAAACTAAATATTTTCTTTGGAATAACAGTATTAAACTTTGCTTGTGCTTAAACTATAAAAAACATTGAAATTTTAAAGGTAATAAAAAAAATTTTTAAACGTATTCATTAAAAGCATAGCTGCCCTCTCGTTTTTAAGTTAGGGCAGTTAGTTCTTTTATAACCTGATCCCAGGTGATAAAAGAAATATCGTCATCATTAATTTTGAAGTTTTTTCCAGTTTCATCACAGATTTTTTCATCACATCTAATCAGTCTTAATTTCTTTTTTATTTTACTCAAAGGTTTCATTTTCATTTCTGAAGACTCTTCTTTCTTGGTTAGTGGTGCCATTTCAAAATTTTCATTAAGTTGTTAAGTAACAACTTCACTGAAAAGCAGTTTCTTCTTTTTAGTTTCTCCGTCGCCTGCATTTACCGCTCTTACAAGTGAATTTGCTTTAGTAATGATTGTGTTAATTGGCGGTTTTTTGATCCGTTGTATTTGTTTTCTGTAGCGTAGGATTGCAGACTTAAGTTGAGCTATTTCAGCCGCTTGTTTTCTTATCATCAAGTTTTTTGTTTTTCTTGCTCGAGTAGACAATTGCTGTGCTGCCAGCGCTCGCCTGTTTATATTTTGAGGTGGGCCTTCACTATCCTAACATGGAGGTGTTACAAAAAGTATTACTTATATCTTGGAGTGCTAAACGACGTCAACGAATTTTTGCTTTTTCTCTCTATATTTTCTAGCCTTCCGCTGCTCTCTGGATATCATTTGCTTCACAGTCTTAATATGCGATATCTTATAAACATTTATTAGTTCCTTTATATTTCTTCTTTTCATACTTCTTTTTCTCTTTCCTTAACTTCTTTTTTGGCGTACTTATCCGGGTCATTTTTAATCCTTTGATAACGTAATCGTTCTGCTATCCTCTTTTTTTCAAGCCTTCTTTTTTTTCGAGGTCCCGTTTTTCTGTACAAAAACGTAATATTTATATTGTAAAGCTAAGTAATAATAAATATAACGCCAAGTAAAGGTTTAGAGAAAACTAGAAGTATTAATGAAAACGCGTACAAATGTATCTCCCCTGGACACTAGGTATCTCCTCTGCCATCAAATGAGCCAGGGGAGATACATTTTCGATAGAAATCTAAAATAGGCGTAAAAGTGTTTCTCGCACGTAGTTCACAAGCAAACGTAACAATGTATGCACTATTCATAGTTAATATTTAAGTATATGTTAGTATTTTAACAAATAATTTCATAGTTAAACTTACCAGAGGAAAGGCTGCATTCACTCAACACTTCTACGTCCAGCGAGTGGCGTGACTGAAATGGCCAACAACATGGCTGCGCAGTTGAGTTATGTGCCGTTTACTGCTAACTTTACGTTACACACTATGTATTCAAGGTCACAACTTCTACGGCAAGCAAAGCAAAACAGATTTTTCAACGAAAACAAAAGGCCAGGTGACGAGACACGAAACACGGAGGACAAATTTTGGCGTTAATATTTTTTATAAAGATTTGGAATATCAGCAATTTTACTTGTAAGATACTATTACTAAGTTGACTGTCTTTATAAAATTAACGGTGTTAAAGAAATTATTGAATTTTAATTCATAATAACTGATTCATAATTCATAATAACTGATTTACAAATAAAGTCGGTGGGGGACAGACCAGGGGAGAGACATTTGGCTTATATTAGCGCTTATTGTGACTTAATTACGTACATTTTTGTAATAAATTTAAGTGAACACGTCGAAAACATTTAGATTTAACTGATAAATAGGTTATTTATGAAATTAATATTAAAAAAAGGTTTTTTTTGCCTTGCCGTCGAAAGTACCTCTTAACTTAGAATGACCCATTCGTTACTTAAACGTACTCGTACCAGTAGTGTACTGTAGAAAAATACGAACGTTAATAGCTAATGGCAGATCAGCTGTAACGTTTTTAGAGCTCCATACCTAAAGGATAAAACGTGACCCTATTACTAAGAATCCGCTGTCTGTCTGTCTGTCTGTCACCCGGCTGTGTCTCATGAACCGTGATAGTTAGACAGTCGAAATTTTCACAGATGCTGTACTGTTGCCGCTATAACAACAAATAGTAAAAAACAGAACAAAAAACATTTAAGCGTGGCTCCCATACAACAGGTATGATTTTTTTTGCTGTTTGTATAGATAATGGTACGGAGCCCTTCGTGCGCGAGTCCGACTCGCACTTGGCCGATTTTAAGCATATTGTTGTCGATATTTCATGAAATACATCGTGACGAGTAATCGCTCTCACCCTAATCCATTGTTCCGTCCCGAGTAACGTGTCCCCCGGCTGCAGAAGAAGTTTCACCTTCCTCCTCAGCAAGTCGTCAGAAGAGAGCGCTTGGGAAGTTATGGCGCTCTTCACGTCTGCCGTTTGCTGCCTCGAGAATATTCCGAACGCTTTATCCCTCTCCAACTGTGAAAGAGACAACATTACTGGTACCAGTTTAGTATATTATACAATTCAAAACTCATCGCAGCTAATTTACATTGGCCGCAACAAGAGTCGTGGCATTTAATTTATTTTGCGTATTAAGGATTTTGAAATTAATACGGTAAAAGTATGAAAGGGCTTATTAGAAAAGATAAATTTATTAGTAAAGTTATGTTATTTTGTTGATTTCTAAACTCAAAGATTTTGTATAAGCTATATAAATATTAATAAACGAAAATCTATTAACTATCAACTGGTTTTGTTAAAAGTTCAACGTTTATTAAAAGTCTAAAGTTGTCGAGAGATAAAAATATTGCATATTGATTATTTTTCAACGACGTTATTTATAAAAAATAAAGAGTAGCTTGTTGTACTAAGTAGACATAAAATTTATAAATTATCAAATCATCTACAAAGTAATTTTTGAAGCTTGAAGAGTTTCAATTGAAATAATATCTGAAAGCGACATTTAAAGAACAACATAGCAAATTCTTTATCGTGTTCCATTTCGGAAGGGACTTTGTTCGATCGTTACATTGCTCAATTTTAGTTGAATAGATTTCGTACAAAAACTGTTAAACTAGCGCGATAAATAAACTTGGCATAAATGTTCATGGCAGTACGATGCGTTGCAAAACCTTGCTGGCGAGGCCTTCACTGCCACCGGTAACTTCTTCCCAGCTGGCGACCGCTCTCTGCTCGCAGTGGTCCTCGTAATCCAACTCCACCAGGTCGACCAGGGACATCAGCCATCGCCTGTCGTACCCACTGGATGAAGTGCCACTTGACAGTAGGGCATACAGGCACACAGTCACACCAAACAGTATGCTTGACTTCCCCATTATGTCATCTGTGAAAACAAGATTAATTACCTTAGTTTCACTATCTCTTAGATGTTAATAAAACACATCAATTAATAGCCTAAAAAGGTTACTTCAACTTTAAAAATATGTTTACATATAAACGTAAGTTATGTAAATATTTCAGGATATTTTTACACAAGCTCCCAAACTAAACAAAGCTTGTGCCATGGGTAATAAGTAATTTATAAACATATGTATGGATATTTTTCTTTTGCACATTAATAAAATAATAATACATAGCACAAAATTTTTCCAGTGCTGGGATTGAACCCACACCCTCCGGTGCGAGCTGCAGGTTCGCTCCACTACGGCAATTGGATCAATATAATATCTACGATATACATACGAGTACTAATGCTGTGAGAGCATTCTGTGTTATAAGTGTTTTACCATTAAAATAGATAACATAAATTTGAAGAAATAACAAACTTCTCTCGTTAGGTAATAAATGCCATCGTCACAATAAATACATCGATAGATAGCAAACGTTTCGTAACCAAATTGATAACAGTGATTTATTTAAAATTGTGATTGAAAATGAATTAAAAAGCAGAGTGAAATAGAAGTTAATTCACACAACAATTCCTCAAAATAATCCATCCGTCGCACCGGAGCTCACAACGCTGCAATTAGAACGAGAATAAATCACATTCTGTGCCCCTTTTTGAAAAAAAAAAAAAACACTGCTCTGAAAAAAAATGCACCAGAATTTAGAAACAGCAGTTTCGCACGAGCTAATTAGTAAGACGATTGTCAGAGCTTAAGGGCTTAAATACGTACGGCGTGCGGATTTCTTTTTTAATTTTAATCACAACGTTTTACAATTCCTTTTAATTACACGTTCTTTCAACTAGTCGTTGTCCTTTTTAAAGCTGGAACACGGGGTTATTATTTAGGTTCATTTGTCCATTAACTTCAGTTATAGGGTACTAGCTTTTCGCCCGCCGCTTTGCTCGCGTTGAAGCCCTTAAATAAATATCTTTCTTTAAAAATATATATATATATTTTAAAGACAGATATTTTCAAACCTTTACACTTTTTTCCAATTAAAAAATAGCCTATGTCCTTACTCAGGCTCTAGATTATCTGTGTACCAAATTTCATTTAAATCGGTTTAGTAGTTTTGGCGTGAAAGCGAGACAGACAGCCATAGTTACTTTCGTATTTATAATATTAGTATGGAATAAACAGATAGTATATAATTTGGCACTAGATATTTGTATCTTTGGTGGGAATGTCCTAATTTGAGGTTGCTATTAATATTTAGGTCTATTTTAAAACGCTTACTTCACTTTTCCTTTTGTCGCTGACGGCCTCCCTTTTAATTTACGATTAACACTGTCGGTGTTAATATGGTTCACAGCTCTTTATCGCAAGCATTATAACGGGATTTAAGTAATTCGCAAGTTCTTAACATGTCACCAACCTAACGAATTTTATCGGACTTTTTGAAAGGTCTGCCTGGTAAAACGTATATTACATTTTTTTTCTGAATACGAATAACGCTGTACATTGACTTAGAATTGAATCCTACTTTATGAATGAAACTAAGAATGTTTAGTAGTAAGAAATGAAGTAATAACTATAGTGTGCTCCATTTTCTTTCAATGTTTTTCAGTCGCGATAAAATCCGTAATATTTTTTAGCCAAACATTTATTACTTTATAATTTATACCGATAACTATACCAATATTTGTTATTGAGTCTTAACAGACCGGGCTTTAATGGGTCTGTGAGTAACAAAAATGAGTACAGCCTTGAACGCAGAACGGAAACAGCTCTTAAGCTTGTTTATGTCTTCGATTCGCGAATGAATTTGACCTCTGTGAGACGAAGCTTTTAAAACGGTCAAAGAAATAATGAAATAATTACAATGGTAGAACTTTTTAACGTCGTGGTTGTTCAGTTTGGGGACGCGCGCTTTTAATTTCACTTGACCAGCTCTCATGGAATGTTTAATTTTAATTTTCAGTGTCGATTTAAAAAGGAAACATGTCAAGGCCAGCTTCACTTTCAACGTTAAAAGCAGAAATACTATCCGCGATCTCGCAAAACTGCTGCTAGCAATCCTTGTGTGTTGATATTGATGATGTTTTTTTAGATGTATATTACAGTTAAAGTGACAGTTCTTACAAATTAAATATGCAATCTTTATGAATTTGAAAAAAAAAAAAAGACCAGCAGTGGGACATTAATAGGCTGTTAGTATGGAAGAAGGTGGCAAGCGAGCTGGCGGTTCATCTGATGTTAAGTCATAACCGCCGCCCATTTACATTTGCAATAGCCTTTTCTTTGCGTTGCCACCTTATATTAAAGGGCGCCCCGGCTACCTCACTCACAAGATGAAACGCAGAAGTATAACACTTCCACTTCACGCTGGTCTTCTGTGAGATCGTACTTACCTGGACGGACCTGCCCATTCGTGAAACCCAAGATTGTTGCGTGGACCTAACCGTGTTGTAACACATATTAACATAGTATAAAACAAAGTCGCTCACGCTGTTTGTACGCTTTGATTTAAAAAAAATGAAAACTACCACGAAGCCGTGCGAGGCCGGGGCGGGTCGCTAGTTATTGAATAAATACATAGATATGTGTGTACAAATACTGCAATCTAAGCTCTTATACATATATATGTCAAACAAACTAAATATTTCTCTGTGAGCACATTTGAATATAGTATTATAATCTTCTATATTATAAAGAGGAAAGATTTGATTATTTGTATGTATTGAATAGGCTCCGAAACTACTGAACCGATTTGAAAAATTCTTTCATTGTTGGGAAGCTACATTATCCCTGCTTGATATAGACTATATTATATTTAAAAAAAAATAGGGATCCTTACTAAAACTTCAATAATGTAACCCAAAGTGTACAAAAATTACCTAAAATATTCTTTACATCGCGTGCGCTATGAAAACTATTGATGATAGAATAAAATAATGTACTACGACTTTGCAGAACACATCATTATTTACAAAAAGTGTCGCGACAGCATATGTCTAACTATTATGGTTATGCCACAATAAGTGTTATTTTATTTTAAAATTTTGATTGAAATGCCGCCGCTAGAAAAGGCTCTTTATTTGTATCTTGGTATTAATCCTTATAAAAATAAATTACTTCATATTTAAGACTGTTTCAATATCTTTATATAACTTTTTGAATTATTAAATTCGGACATTCCATTCGAGAGATATCACAAGTTTAAAAATGTTAGTATATTGGAATTTAACTATCCAAATAGCTTAGTGACTGACTTAGTAGTTCTTACAATTTTTCAATCAAATTTATACTGGTAGTTCCTGTTCGATAGTTAGCATATTATTAAATACAAAGGCAGTTTAATTTTTTTTATCATTTTAAAGATCTCATCTTTCTAGAAAAAGTTTCCAGGCGAGGGCATCAAAAATACGTCGTAATGAGGAATCTTTACCGGAAACTGAAAATAGCCTTAAAAGTCGGAGAGAGTCAAGTAGTGTTTGCAGCGGCTTGAAGAGCATACTAATATAAATATATAAATTCACACTAGGGAGTAGAGTTCTGAGCGTTCCCAACACCTACGAGATTAGAGGGAAAGACAACAAACGTCAACGATTAGAGTTCGTAATCGACTTTTAGCTCACAGTAACAGATCAGCTTTAATGCATTAAGCTCAACAGTCTTTTGTCCAAATCGGAGCCATGAATAAGATCTGCTCTAAGTGTTCTGCCAAAAAAAGGGTCGATGAACCAAATGGTATGTGCTGTGCTTCTGGAAAAGTTAGTCTCCCCAATTTTGAGGAGCCGCCACAGCCAAAAAAAATCTTTTGACAAATATCATTCACCATCTGGACATTTTTAACCAATATTCGAAAGTGCAATAGCTTCTTTCAAATGATTTCGTTTAGCGTGAACTTTTAAAATAGAGGGACAAATATACAAGTTATCATTATCCTCCTGCCCCTATCCCACCTAGGTGGGATCGGCACAACTATATTTTTACAACCAGCCGCCTGCCTGACGTCAAGCCTCCTTGGGAAACAAATACCCACAAAACCTAAATTCAAAAATCAAATTTCAACTCTGTAACTATCACGGTTCATGAGATATATTAGTAATAGGGTCCCGTTTTACCCTTTGGGTACGGAACCCTAAAAAGGCCCTAGAGATATACAGTTGCACGGTAGACACGGCCAACTTAAAAGGGTCTTTGAGTTACACCGATTGTATGATCCACTAGAATATCTCTTAATAGTCGTAATAGGAGAAGACGGTTAGTATTTGACTATTCCTCAGCAAGGTACTGTGTGTAACAAAACTGTGACATGCATGCAATTTTATGCATTTAGGTTGATGGTTAGAGCTACCTGTTTTAATCCATTACATTATTACTGGGACTTATTAGGGTTCCGTACCCAAAGGGTAAAACGGCACCCTATTACTACGACTCCGCTGTCCGTCTGTATGTCCGTATGTCTGTCCATACATCACCAGGCCGTATCTCATGAACCGTGATAGTTAGAGAGTTGAAATTTTCACAAACAATGTATTTCGTTGTCATTTGTTGCCGCTATAACAATAAATACTAAAACACAAAAAAATTATAAATAAGAGGGGCTCCCATAATACAGACATGATTTTTTTGCCGGTTTTATAGATAATGTTGACAGCAGTAGTGTTTTTGACAATATGTAAGAGTAATACTTCTATATTGAATAAAGATTAAAATATGTAGAAAAAGTGCGAAAAGATTGTCGCCGCTGTGGGAATCGAACCCACGTCTTCGGCATTCGCGGCCTGACGCTCTAGCCACTGAGCTAAACGGCTGATTACCACACCGACGAAAATCTTAATGCATTCCTCTACATTGTTTTCTTAGCATTTGAAGCAATGCTTGGCGCCATCTATTGTTATATCCTTTCCAGCATACAAACAACTTCGAATATCGTTTTACAACGATAATTCGAACGAGAGATGTCGCCATTGCTTTTTTTA